TCATATATGCCAAAAAGAAATAATAAAGTGCTTCATTTCAGTTAAAAGGTATGTACTTACAGAAAAAAATCATAGGATATATAGGAATTCTATACTTTTCAAGGTTTTAGGCATTCACTGAGAGACTTAGGATATGCCTCTTTTGGATAAGGGAGGACTACTGTAGTTACAAATACATTGTTCTCAAACGTGTATGTTGATCATTTTCTATAATCTAAAGAAAGTCTAAAGTGATGCAACATATTGGCACAATAAGAAAATTTAGAAATTTCTAAATAAAAATAAATTTTTTCAATTGAAAATGTATAATTATAAAAGAAATCTAACCAATGCTATTGTAAATATGGAATTCTTAGAAGAATTCTTTTTAAAATCAGAGATAAGGACAAAGACAGTCATTACCACTGCTTCCATACAACATTGTCCTGGAAGTCCTAGCTGGCACTATTTACAAAAATAATAGGGAGAGAGAAAGAAAAAAATAACACTATTCATATTAGATATCTGTAGTGGTGATTATATTATAGAAAAACCTATATATGAACAAATCATTGGGAAAAATAAGAAAGAGGTAGGAAAATGTATTTAAGATAAAATTCTTTTTGAAATTACAAAATCCTGAATATTCTGGTGCCTTTATATCTCATTTCACATGTGTTTCTTGTTCCCTCCTGATTTGATGGCTTTTTTCAGTCACTTATCTTATTATACTTCTTCCCACCTCAGGATCCTCACCTAACCACCCTAATTAACTTCACGTCTCTCTTCAAAGGCCATGTCCTTAAACTAGCCCAAGTTTACAAATCATTATACTTCTCCTCTCTTTTTTTCCATCATAGCATTGATCTAAATTGTAGCTAAAATTCTTGTAGCTATTTATTTGATGCCTTACTTCCTGACTATAGCCTTCATGAGGATAAGAATGATGGATTTTTTGATCATGACTGCTCTTTGGTATCTAGCACAAGTTTTTAATAAATAAGCAATGAAATAACCCAAGAATGCATTCAGATGTATTATTCACAGTATTGAAAATATGTTTACAGATTAAAAGGCAGAACATTTTAAATCACAGTAACAATGATCCCAAGTCAAAATATCATTCTCTGGTGGATAACAAATTTAGACTAATCCCCTAATGTGAATTCAGGAAATCCTATTTATATTTATATCTTAGAACAACAGCAGTTTAGTTGCATAGCTTTTGTTTATGCCTAACTTCTACTGATTTCCTGTTCTCAATAGTTACTCGCTAAATGAAAGTATTATTATTAATCCATGTTAAGAGTCTCTAGTTTAAAATTTTTCAACATCAGAAATATTGACATTTGGAGGAAAGGGGCTGTGCTTTGTCTTGTAAAATGTTTAGCAGAATCTATGATCTTTCGTCACTTGCCAGTAGTGACAACTTTGCCAATAGTGACAAAAATGCTTCCAGACAGCAATAAATATCCCTTGGAAGAAAAAAAATCATCCCTTGTTGAAGCTACTACACTAGTTACTAGGAGAAAAATAAATAAGAGATAGATAAGATCCTTAAAACAACATGCTAACTGGTTTTTTAAATCTTACAATCTAGAACATATAGGGCAATGAATAACACGTAAGATAGAAAAGCTGCTTATCAAAATGTATGCAAAACAGCAAATAAGTAATAGGACACAACAAATTAATTATAGTCCAACCACTCATTTCCTAGGGAAAGAAAGTACATATTTTGATAGATACAAAATTACAGATACATGTTTAAAGAGGATGTTAGGGGAAATTATTAGTCTCTACTGTACATTCTTACCTGCTGTTTAAATAATGAGGTTATTACAAATTTATTGAGGAAAAAAAAATGTCAGCTTAATTAATCCAATCTTTTGCTGAGACAATGTTTCTGTCCCTCCATAGAAGAAGTTTCCGTGAACCACTCTAGCTCTCTAGAAATTGTTGATCTTTCAATCATAAGTCTACAAAATTCACATGAATTTTTTTTGATAGTTCTTTTTTGATTCTTGAAGGCTGATTCCTTTCCTTAAATGTGATTTGTCTTCTTAAAAGGACGAGACTAATGCAGTCGGTTTTAGTCGTGAGTGTTTCCCAGACATCTTTGTTGAAAGGAGAGGATGATGTGAAACCCTCACAAAGGAAGAATTCCAAGTTGCTGAGGATACAGAAACACAAAGTGAATGAATAATCTTTTTCTTAAGATCAGATTGAAGGAAAGAGTTGCTACTGATCTCCTTTCCACATCATTATCACATGACCTTCTTCCAGCTTTCTCTAGGCTTTCTGCATATCTTTCCATAAAGGTATTTCCTATCTGATTTTTCTTAACTATAAAAATGATGAATTTAAGCTCACCCTTTAAAACAAAGGCACGCTTGTAGATTTCAGAGCCCCTCAAAGTTTAAAAGTTTTAGAAGTCTCAAAGACCAATCTGTATCAGGTAATCAGAGTGATGGATCAAAGAAGTTCTTAAAATATTACCTTAAAATATTACAAGCCAGTCAGTCAATCAAAGAGAGCGCTCTTTCATGGCAGATTATATTTAAACAAACTTCAGGAAACTTATTTCCAAGTTTTCAAAGACATTTGCTAAAATCACTAATTGATCAAATAATCTTTTCTAGCTTTTCGTAAGTTAAAAATGAAAGTACTGATGTCCAGAAATGTAGATATAAAGGCAGTGTTTAAGGCTTGTTTGCTGTAAAATCAGTGACTCTTAATTAGATTATGTTTATGGAGTTTTGTTTAGGGAGATTAGCAAAGGTGTTAAATTAATCCTATCCTCAGGGTTGAAGAAACTTAATCATTCATTATTAACATCCATCTAAAGACCTCTGAAATGTAATCCTTAGAAGAAATGTTCTTTAGAGACTCAATATAAGGATATTTGGGGATCCAAAATCAACTTCTCCAGACCAGAGAGTGTGTTGGGAACTCACCTGGCTAGGAAGACTGAGGAAAGATACCACCATCACACTTGGAAGGCTTGATCCCTGAGCTGACGTCTTCCTAGTTTTCCTTCTACAGAAAGCACTGGAGACCATGGATAAGCTCCTTAGGTGAGTGCACAATTGACCACATTGGAGTTCCTCCAACTTTCTAAAAGGAAAACAAACCAAATCTCCTAGTTTTAATTTATCACTGAACTGAGGTTGTTTCTATCAAATGATATTGTTTGACAACTTAGTGAAATGATTCCATTCCTGTTTTGGCACCCTGGGTTGTTAAGCATGTTGGAATTGATATGATGATTAATTTTAGTTTTCAAATATCCCTTAGTTGTTCTTATGTATTATAAGGACACAGAAAGTAGTGTCCAGGTATCTTGCAGGTTTGTACTTGACATAGATTAAGAATATTTTTTAGGAATATTTGATTTTATATGTAGCATACATTATAGTCTACTCTAAAGGCAGGACATTCTTGTCTGCGCGAGAGAGATGACATTTATAATATGACTAGGTAACACACTCAGTGATTTGAGGAGAATTGTTTTTTTTTAAGTGAAGCAAATATCTCTAAAGAAACATGACTTTTTTTACTTACATTTTAAAGAAGGTAGGCAATGATTGGGATGGCAGAAAAGTGACACTGGTGAGTGTATAGGAATATGAGAAGTTTCAGCATGTCTCCATTTAACTAGTAGGGACAAAAGGACCCAATTTTAAGCAAAATAGATCTTTAAAAACCTGCTTTGTTTTTTGGTGCTGGTTATTATTGTTTTCAGTGGAAAAACGGCACCAGATGTTACCCTTGGTTCAGCAACCTCAGTGCTTGAATTCTGGCTAAGAGAAGAATTCAGAGCCAAGACTCAAACTGAGAGACAGAGAGAGAGCACATGCCAGTGAGAGCACCCTGGAGAGAGAAGGAAGTGGGGAAAGGCAAGGGCGTGCTCCACGGATAGCCATACTGGGTCCTCCGTTCTGAGGACTTTTATTTGAGGCCTCCGTGGAGGATGTCCATAAAACATTCATCAACTTCCTAGGTGTGCCCCCTCCTGGTCTCCACTAATTGATTGGCGCCAGAGAATCATTAGTCACTGTAGTTGGTCCTGACCTCAGCCATGGCCTCACTTGTCTGGTTTTGCCACTTTTCTGGGCCTGGACCTGAAACACAGCTGAGGCCTAGATGTCATCCTCAGGGATTATTGCCTAAGGGTGTGGTCGTACAAGGGCTTGTCGTTTTGGCCCTTACTAGGCACCTGGGGCTCTCTGCCCTGAGGATGCTCTGTACTTGGATTATCTGCTTATCTAACTGGGTACTACAATTATGATTGTATCAAAATTATATCTTATCACAGTATGAAAAAGTGCTTGATCACAGTTTTGAAGACTTGAAAGTTACAGCAATTCTCTTTAATTTTTGGTTTCTTTGATTAAGTGCTATAGATAATAAAGAAATGAGGGCAAATGAAACACATTAGTATAATCATGTAAGTAGATTCTGGTTAGAATCCAATTCTTTTGACAATGTCTACTTTCCTCTCATTAACTCTTAACATAGTCACATGTTTTGTTAAAAAAAAAAAAAAGTTTGGGGATGTGGATTCTGAATGAGATGAAAAGGTCATCCAAGGAAAAATGCCTGACAATTTCATGAAATAATAAAAATAGAAGTCAAAAATCCTGAGCTATTAATGACTGATATTGAGTGTTACATGAGCTTTTAAAGCCTTGAGGACCTAACACCTGGAGCTATAAACTTGGGTAAAACACCTGAAACTCAAGCAATTTGGAGGCAGTAAGACCTCAACAAAACTGGGATTCTTTTTATACAGGAAAAAAGGGGACAGAGGCAGATAGTGTTAGTTAGAAAGCCGAGAATGGTTTCTGCAGATTGTAAGCGCTTTCCTTGTGTCTCTTCTTTCTGTTTGTGTCACATGTCCTATCAAGCTTGTTTGGCTCCAGACACTGTCATTGAATCACAACCTGAGCCAAATTTTGCTTAGACCTTTGGGTCTCCTGGGCGGAGGAATAAACTCCTGATTTTCTTTCATCAGGAAAATGGACTCAGACGTGTCGCAAACCTTTCATGAAGAACTTGCCTGTCTTGTCTGCTTGAATTACCTCACAGACCCAGTCACCATGGGCTGTGGGCACAGCTTCTGTTGGCCATGTCTCTGTGTGTCCTGGGAGGAAGCCGAGATCCCTGCGCGTTGTCCCGTTTGCAGGGAACCATCAGAGCAGACAAACTTTAAAACTAATATTCTTCTGAAAAATCTTGTGTCCATTGCCAGGAAGGCCAGCCTGCGGCAATTCCTGAGCTCTGAGCACTATAGGTGTGGGCTGCACAAGGAGACAAAGCAGATCTTCTGCGAAGACGACAGGAGCCTGCTCTGTGTGCGCTGCTCTAGCGCGCAGGAGCACGAGGCTCACAGGCACCGCCCCGTAGAAGAGGCTGCTGAGGAACACCGGGTGAGCCCTGCCTCTGAGAGCACACTGATAGTGGCAGGGGAGTGCGGCCCAGGCAGCATAAGGACCTGAGAATCATCATGATGATTAAATCCTTTCCTTACTGAGTGTCAAGTTCCAATTTAAGTACCAGTGATGGAGCTGTGAGGAAAACACAGTTGTATATCTGCCTTCTTGGTGGTTGCATTTAACGAGAGAGTAATTAAGTTAATGGTCATTATTATTTTGATGATACAGCATTGTGCCCAAGTCACTGGAAAGCCCTCATTCTGAGAAAGAATTACAAATGCGAAAAAGATTTTCTATGGGGTACATATTTGTTAACACAGGACAAAGGAGTAGGATAAAGTATATTGGAATTGGGAGGGGACAAGTAACATTAGCTCCAAATTCTGATGCGAGATGCCTCACTATCTGAGAGGTAGCCATGCTAAGTAAAATTCCTCTCAGTTTCGCTAGACAAATGACTACATTGCACTGTGTGGTTGTACAGGCTGAAATCTTCTAAAATTCATCATTAATGAGGGCAAATAGGGAAATGTCATGATCCTTCTTCCCTCTATAGATTACATTTATCTAATATCCTTTGATTGTCCTAATCATTAATGGTCTAGAACCTAAATTTATTTGCTTTTCTGGTGCAAAATTCTTTTTTTTTTTAAAACAAACAAACAAACAAACAAACAGGCGAAGCTCTCAAACCACATGAGATCTTTATGGGAAAAGATTCAAGAAATTCAAAGAAATCCCAGTAAAGATGGCAGAATATCTGTCTATTGGATGGTAAGTATGAGACTGTATTTCCCTCTGAATCAGGCTGACACAGTCATGTCAGGAGAAGGAACTGTGAACAGCAGTAGAGAAGTGTGCCTGTGACGGTGAGACGAGCAGGAGCTAGAGAATGATATTTCTTCAAGTAAAAGAAAATGTAATGTGTTAAAAATAAAGGAACCTGAGAAAAAGAAGTAAAAGGGAAAACTGAGGTTGGAGAGTAAGAGAGAGAATCCACAACTTTTGGGAGGAAATAGGCAATGGAATAAGAATCAATGTTCTTCAAAACCATAGGGGAGCCTGTGGTCATAGATGGAGGACAGAAGCCCATCCATAGAGAAAAGGAGGGCAGAGAAAAGGGCTGGGAGGATGGACACCAGTTTGAGGGAAGGAGGTGAGAATTTCAGGAAGATCTTTCCTGATGGCTCCTAGTTCTAAGAGTAAATGCAATATTACTTCTAAGGATGGGGAGAGTTTGATACTAGAGACAAACTTACTAACACAGAGATCAGAATATTGTATGTAATAATTGATTAATCAACAATGAACTTTAATTGCTTGCATGCAGTCTTTCAGAGTTGAGAGGATGAGTGTGAAAGAAATAATCAATGAAAAGCATTCCTCCAGTTCTTTCAGGAGTTCATGAAGTGGATGGAGGTGGTTTGAGGGAAGCACATAATTGGTTGTTGTATAGTTTAAAAGAATGGAAAATAAACGAAGGAAAGAGGAATGAATATATGGTTTCTGAAAAGCGGGGGGACCTGAATTTAGGATACATGAAGCTTATTGGTAGAGAACATGAATAAGAACAGTAGATGCTGTTTAAGTGGAGGAGGGTAAGGTTTGTCCAAGTATGTGATCTAAGAAATCCATCTCTCTGCAGAAGTATCTGTATGGACGCCAAAGTGAAACCAGGGCTTTTTATGAGACATTGCAACTGGTTTTCCATGAGGAAGAAAAACAATATTTAGAGAGTGTCATTAAGGAAGGGTCAACGGTATTTGAGCAACTTGAGAAACTCGAGGCTGAAATGGCTGAAAAGAAAATCAGCCTGAGCGATGTATGACGAGCTCGTGAATGTGTGTCTGAGACCAGATGTAGAGTTGCTTAAGGTAGGAACAGAGCATGTGCCTGGGAATCTTTTATATTATTGGAAGCACACACCTTTGATTTCCTTTATTTATTTGGTACCAAAGATATGTATTCCTTCATTTCCTGCATTCATGGGGGAGAGTGGCTCCCAATGGGGAATAATATAGATAATCTGCTTCTGACCTAATCATGAACAAGCAAAACTTATGAAACTGTGATTATGGAGATTCCCTAAGGAATATTTTCCTTCTTAAAATCTACTTTTGTTTCTTGCTTCACTAAACACCAGAAAGGAAAAACTTATTCAAGATCTTTTCATTCTGGCTTGCAAGTTGGCAATGTAGAAACATTTGGTAAAAGCTCCTATATATTTCTTGCTTCTGTTACAATACCATTGGTTTCACTGACCATTAATTTGGGGCATATTACCCTTTCAGGACAAACCTTAGGAAAGACCCCTATGTACAGAGCTGAGAGCGACAGCAATACACAGCTACTTCCCTTGCCTTCTCTCTTTTCACACTCAGTGTTCTGAATTTATCAAGAACATAAAAACAGAGACCAAAGAGATGGTTACCAAAAGGGAGGGCAGGGGAAATGGGTAAAAAGGGGAATTAGTCAATAATATTGTGATAAGTATACATGGTGACAGATGATTACTAGATTTAGTATGGTGATCACTTTGTAAGGTATAAAAATGTTGAATCATTAATATTGGACACCTTAAATTAATGTAACCAATTTATGATTGTATACCAACTATGCTTAAATAAAACAATAAATTTAAAAATTATTTTTAAAAAATTTAGATTCTCACAAGGTATTGTCAGGAATATCTTCAGGGAGGAAAAGGAAAAGGAGTTTTCAAACAGTTTGCAGGTGGAAGTGATTAGTACTCTTCTAAGCTTCCCCAAACCCAAACTGGTTGGTGGAACATCCTACTTCTGAAGTCTAAGCTGCTCTTTTCTTTCTTGATAGGAATTAGGAGACACACTGAGAAGGTGAGTTTGTTCTTCAATGCTAACTGTGGTTCATGAGGGCCATGGAAGAGATCCAGCTACTTCTAACAAAATGAAGACATAATTTTTCAGAGTATTCTCAATTGTTTGTGTGCATGTCTGTTTGTGCGTGTTTTGCAGTATATGATTTCCTGCTCCTCTTGATCAGGAGTATTTTTTCCCATCTGTGGCTGAGAGAGGTATGTGTTTTCAGGCTCAATGCAAAACTTTCTACAAGACTGGTCATTTATGGTTTTATATTTCACAATCAATAAGAACTGAAAGTGCAAAGATTAGATTTACCCAGAATTAAGTAGGAGAAGCAAGTACCTCTGAGAAATGAGGGTGGAAGCAGCCAAACAAGAAAAGTAAGAGAGATTCCCTAAGAATAGCACAATCTTATCCCATGATTGTGAACAAGAGGATTTTGATGAAGAACATTCAGTTGAATGATGATGGCACCAAAAGCTTAATTGTATCTTCCTTTTTACAGGAGCGAGCAGGTGCAGCTGCACATGCCTCAGCCTCTGCAGCCATGGCTCCCTGCACGACCCATTGCTGGATTGTTGGACAGGCTCAATTGCTTCCGAGGTAAGTGTCGCCCCCTTGGTGGGACCACCTGACAGAATCCTTTAACAACTTTTTATGGATGATCTTTTCCTCTTTCTTGCAGAGCGACCTGTTAAGTGGCATGTATGGTCCTACTTAGTCATGGAGTCACAGTCATATGGGAAAAGATAAAATCAAAACTGCTGTAATGATAGATGTGACTCAGGCCTTATCCATTACTTATAAATATGATATTACTTACATAATAAGAAAAAAAGACATGCACCAAAAAATGCTTCTTGAGTCCTAGAAATATCATCACATAAAATGTCTGTTGTTCACTGAGCCATAGAAAAATGGGAATCAGTTCAAGATATTCCAATTTAAAATAAGAACAGTGAATTAGGTTATAAATATTTTTGCTTTAAATATTTCTGCTTTAAATATTTTTATTAATTGGACTTATAATGTGTGTTTCAATGGATGTAATAAGAAATAATCATAAATGTAAAAAAACTAAATGCAGAAACCAAGACTTTATGAATAATAACAATAAAGGAAGTTGGTGGTTAGTGAGACCATATATAGAGCTCCATGGTAAACCTAAACCTGGAAGGTTAATCTATCAGAAAGAGGAAGAATATATTTTCAGGTGGAACCAGTTATCAAAGGCAGACAATTCTTAGCAGGAAATCACTTTTAAGAAGGCCTTTAGGTTTCTTGTTCAGTATCAGCTTGCTTACTTAACTGGAATATTGTCAACTAGAGTATTCTCATATCTTGGTAAAGTAATCTCCATTTATTTAGTCTAAAATTACTTTTGTCCTCTGAGAAGGAGTGATAAAGATAAGGTTTATTGCTATGGACTTGGTGGCACTGCCCAGGTGTCCAGCTTTTCAGGTGTCAGGAAAAGTAACCAGCCAGAAGTAGACATGACCTTCTTCTCCTTTATGATCTCTGATTTTTAGGAAGATTTTTTCTATTGAAATTAGATATCTGTTTCTTCATGAGATATGTTGGCATCATTTGAACCCAATATTTTCCATTCAGAACTGCCCTTCTAATAACGTTAGAATGTTCTTTTTCCAGTGAGATACTAGGGATGCGCTTCCTCTCATAGACAATATTATTTTTAACATTGATTTTGGCAGAAATAATCTCTTTTCTTCACAGTGCAAATTTCCTTCACTAATGAAATAAGCAATCACAATATCAGACTGTTTGACGATGTGAGAAGTCTGAGGTTTAAGCATGACCATATATATATGTCTCTGGATCCTGGAACATCGAACTATTTTGCTGCATGGGGAGCGCAGGCCTTCACCTCTGGCAAACATTACTGGGAGCTGCATGTGGACAAGTTTTGGGACTGGGCTGTTGGGGTCTGTAAGGAATCCTGGCTGAGGAAGAATGGTACGCTGATTGAATCTCAGGACGAATTTCTCCTTTTATGTGTGAAGGAGGATAATGGTCACGCTCTCTGGACCACTGCCCCGATGACTCGTCAGTACATAGAGAAACCTCTGGGCAGGGTTGGTGTGTTTCTTGATGTTGACAGGGGAAGTGTAAGTTTTGTGGATGTTGCAAAGTGCTCTCTCATAAAGCATTCCCTCATTACACCTTCCCCACTTCAGAGGGATCTAGAGGACATGTTCAATTTCCCTTTTAGGCCTTTCATTTACACTGGGCACACCTGAGTAGGGCTAATTCAGAAAACTGACTATGTGCCTGGGATCTCTATCCTGAGAAAGCCCTTCTTAGTTGAGGCCCATCAACGATACTTTATTATCTTTTCTCCCTTTTTTTACTTTAACCTTTTGTAGTTATTTAATATGAAGTTTGTACAAAATACAAAATTTTGTTAGTTTCATTTTCTTGACATTAAAATCATATCTTATGGCCTTTTATCTTGAATATATACTGTGTTTTTTTTTAATCTGTTTTGTGAGCTTGCTGGAGTTACCAAAATATATATCAGTGTGCAGTTACTATTCATGGTCAAAATCCAGGAACACAGGGTTTGCACATCCTGGACAGACCTGGTTATCTGTCGTGCACGGCAGTCTGCAACTTTCTACTCCTTCCTTTGTCTAGTCAATCCTACAAGTCCACTCACCCTCAAAGGAAAAACTGAGTTGACAAAGAAGTTTCCACAGACTTTCAGAACTGAGATAGGCCTTCGTTTAAGAGAACCTAGAATAGCTGGCCATTTTCTTTTTCAACAGAATAAATTATAAGAAATAAATGGAGGAAGTGCCTTCTGTTTACAGCTGTGTTCTTAGCAGCTAACACATTGGCTAGGCCATCGGGGTGCTTAGCAAATTTTTGAATAAATAAATTAATAAATGGATGAGACAACTACCTTACTTGAAAGCCGTTTTGCTATAAGTTTTCAGAATTTAAAAGTTGATATAAAAAACTGGTTAAATTATACAAGTTGAATTTAAACCCCATTGATTTCTCACTGGTGTGAAAAACGATATATCAGAGTGGGAGGCAGCAACTATAGAGACTCTATTAACATAGAGATTAGGTGCATGTGTGTATTTCAGTCAGGGTGGTCATACATCATTGTTCATTTATTTAAGATCATCATCTGGGCCTTGAGTGACAGAATGGGAGACAGAGGAACAAAATGCAGACATAAGCTCCCTGCTCTGTCTCTTTCACCATCATAGTGCATTAGTTTTTGCTTTTTTGTTCTTGTCCCGCATTAAATTGTGAATTCACCATTGCATTTTCTCTTCCAAATATATTTCCTGAATATATAGTTAGAAATTGATCCATGTTGATTAATTACATCAAAGTGATTTCTTAAACTAAAATGAAACTCAGCTCAGCAGATGTTGCAATTGGCTGTTTGACATGGAACAGGTCACCCAAGTTTACTTGGCCAATCTCTTCATTTATGGCTACTAGTAATACAAGCTTACATTCACGGAGATCTTACCATGATTTTCCTAAAAATGTGTTTTCTCTATTTTATATATAGAATCTTGATCTAATATTTCTAGTGAAGAAATTGAGTCATGAGACATTTAGTGATTTGAACTAAAGTAATAAGTCTCCAGTGTCTATGCTCTTACCCTTGCTATGTGTTATCTCTCAAAAATATGAATCTCTAAGGCAAAATAATGTTGGAAATGGACCAACCTCCCTATATCTGTTGATGAGAATCAGATTACTTAATGCAAGGGAAGAGTTTATTCTAGGCCCTTATATAGAATAAATCTTAAATATTTTTAAACATTTAAAAAATTATTAATATTAGCTCAGTAACAATAATATTTACTTTGGTTTTTCAGTCATTTCCCTCACTCTCTCCTATCCATGGCTGATCTAGACATTTCCTGCTATCAGGATGGCTTTTCCCTAAATCATCTTGTTACTTATATTTAGTATATGGCTAATAGAACCCAATGCAACTCTTTCTTTTGTGATCAAATGCCTTTATTCCAAACTATATTAGTAACTATCATTTATTTTTCATACAGTAGATGTTTATGAAATGACTGTATTGTGCTTAAAATAGGTATGCCCTAGATATATGTACTCCCTAATACTCCCTTTCTTACATAAAATTTTAGGAGACAGGCATTAAATAGGTAATTACAGTACTGGAGTTTTATGGCATTAGTAAATTAACCACTTCATTTACAAAGAAAAGGGATTAATCATATTGATTAGGTCTTAGAACTAATGTATTTCAATGAAGTTGAATATCTAAAAAACTGACTGTGCCCTGGCTGGTATGGCTCAGTGGATTGAATGCTGGTCTGAGAACTGAAAGGTCACCGGTTCAATTCCCAGTCAAGGCACATGCCTGGGCTGAAGGCCAAGGCCGTGGTTGGGGGTGTGAGAGAGGCAAACGATTAATGTTTCTCTCTGTCTTTCTCCCTCCCTTCTTCTCTTTCTGAAAGGAAACAAATCATTTTTTAAAAAGTGACTGTGATGCTTATTACTTACCTGTGTTATAGAGACCAATTGAGGTGGAATATCATCTTTGTTTATTATTTGCCTATTACCATAATTTTCACATTTCAATTTATACGCTATCCACTACATTTACTTGAGTAAATCTCATCCTTCTGGGTTTTAAATAAATGGTTTGGGGCTATTTGTGAAGAAATTAAATTCAAATAGTAAAATTTTTATTTATTCATTTCTTTATTTATTGATTTCAGAAAGAGAGGGAGGGAGAGAAGAAACATAGATTTGTTGTATGCAGTCATTGGTTGATTCTTGTATTTGCTCTTACTGGGAATGGAACCTGCAATCTTGGTGTATCAGGATGATGCTCTAACCCACTGAGCCATCCATCCAAGGCTTGCTTTGCATTTTCAATGATGTCTCAATGCACAGAAGTTATTAATTTTAATGCATTCCAACATGATTTCTCGTATGTTTTGTAATCTTTGTGCCCACTTAAAAAAACTTTCTCAGTAACATGGGAGTGAGAACATTACAGATTTATTTATCCACTTGTTCACCTTGTATTTATTGTGATTTCTGTTCTAAGTACTACACTGGGTAGTGGAAATAGTAACTGATTCAAATACTGTCCTTATTTTTATAATTTTCAGTCTAGTGGTAATAAGTATCTACCAATCTGATGAAAGTTTGCTGACTATTATGATAATATAGTATAGTATGCTCAAAAAATTTGGATTAAGAGGAACTATACTGGTCTGTAGGCTCAGAAAGGACATCCTTTAAAAACTGTTATTTTAGCTGAGATGTGATGGGTGACTTTTATGGTATATAACTCTTCATAATACAGCTGTTAGTTAAAAAAATAAAGCCATTGAGCTATTGATTATATGCTAGGGAGCGATACACTGTAAACAATTTTTATTAAAAAATTTAATAAACACATTTATACATTCAATGTGGTTATGCCATTTATTAATATACAATAATTATGTTTCCTTACATTACAATATGCTCCATGACAGTCAAGTATCAACTTGTTGCCTCACAGAACATTTCATAAAAATAGTTTCCTCAGTCATGGAAGTTCATCAGATAAATGGTAAAAACTTCTCATGGAGAATCAAAGCATAGGAAAGGCTTCAGAGGAGAAGAGAAAGAGGGAGAAACTAAACTACTTATGAGGGAACCTTTCTCAGCATCATAGAAGCTCACAGTTGCATTGTCATGATCCACAAACACTCCAATCTTACCCAGAGGCATTTTCACATACTGAATTAAGGGTGGGCAGTTAGTGGAGAGACAATAATGATCATTCACTTTCAAAGAAAATAGAAGAGATGCTCCTTCAAAATCAACAATGATATCGGTATCGTTTATCAGGGAATCTTTACAGACTCCCAGAATCCACGGCGAGTAGTGTGGTATGTCCACCTCCCAGTAATGCCTACCAGAGGTGAAGGTATGAGTTCCCCATACCGCGAAACTCTGCACTCTCTGGGGCTCTCCGCACATGCTGTCCAGGTCATCTCCAAACACCATACCAACATTCTTAGAGAGGCTTATATGGCAACTGATAGTTTCCTCACTCAGAACATCATCCACTGCAAAAGAGGCAAAAATCAGGTCAGTGAATGGAATTTCCATGCCTTGAGGGACAGTCCCTTCATTTGCCCCTCCTCTAAGGAAATACAAAATAAAGACAGTAAAGAGAGTTGAGATTGGCTCCTCTATGAAGTGCAAAAGTTATCACTGCCTCTACAGCACACAGAAACCATTTAAATTATACAGAAAAAGAAAACAAAACCTCTGCATATATTATGAACTGTGTAAAGCAGCGATTTAATCTAAATCTCTAGATAGTTTGTTCCAGGTCACACCTAAAACTTTTTCGTCACTTTAGAAATCTCTTCTTGTGTTGATTGTCCTTGATATTATTTAATAAATAGACAGCAATTTGCTATTATGTGGGTAATTATTGGAATGTAAATTGTACCTGTTACATTTTCAAGAATCAAAATATTTGATAGAAATTCACATTATGCATAAATTAGAAGTTTCTGAAGGGAATGTTCTTGTTTTATGTTATCTGTTTAGACCTCACATTCAATCTGATCCCAATTTCAGCTCTCAGGGTCTAGACCTGCTGTCTAGGATGGGCCTGATACAGTGAAGCCATGCTCACAGATCCTTCTCCTGTCAGTGGTTTTGAAATTGGCCTAACAGTATTAAAATTATTCTGCTTATGGTCCTGGCTGGTGTGGCTCAGTGGACTGAGCATTGACCTGTGCACCAAAAGGTCACCAGTTCGATTCCCAGCCAGGGCACATGCCTGGGTACAGGCCAGCTAATGACGTGTGTGTGAGAGAGGCAACCGATTGATGTTTCTCTCTCTTTTTTTTTCTCCCTCCCTTCCCCTCTTTCTAAAAATAAATAAATAAAATCTTTAAATAATTATTCTGTTTATGACCATTTCAGTTTTCTTTGGACTTTCTGATTTTATAAATAATAAGTATTTTTGTCTAATGCTCAATAAATGCACTTGCAATATACAACAGGTTAAAAAACTATTAATGCCATATTTAAACTTTCAAAAATAGGTGAGACTGAATAAACTTACAAAACTGATTGCTACTCTGAGATCTAAATATTCCCTCTTCATAACCACACAACCAATCTCATTGCTCTTTTCTTCTATGTATATCAAATGTGATTTAAAAATGTATCTTACTTTGTAGTTTCAATACAGTATAAGTTGCAAAGTTCA